GTGATGAGTAGAATGTGTATCTGTGGTCTTTGGATGGAGTGTTCTATAGGTATCAATTAAGTCCATTTGGTCCAGTGTCTCATTGAGGTTCCATATCTCCTTGCTGATTTTTTGTCCTGATGATCTGTCTAAGGTTGTGAGTGGTGTATTAAAGTCCCCAGTTATTATGGGGTTAGAGTCAATGTCTTTCTTTAGTTTTCCTAGAAGTTGCTTTATGAATGTTGGCGCACCTATGTTGGGTGCATATATGTTTAGGATAGATATTTCTTGTTGATGGAGTGAACCTTTTATCATTATGTAGTGGCCCTCTGTATCTTTTTAAATTTTTGATAGCTTAAATGGTATTTTGTCTGAAATTAGGATCACGACTCCTCCTTTCTTTTGTGTTCCATTCGCCTGAAAATTTGTTTCCCATCCTCTTACTTTGAGTCTGTGTATGTCCTTTCTAGTGAGATGGGTCTCTTGAAGGCAGTATATTGTTGCCTGGTGATATTTTATCCATTTTGTCATTCTATGTCTTTTCAGTGGTGCGTTTAGTCCATTCACATTCAGACTAATTATTAAAATGTGAGGGTTCGTCCCTATCATGTAGTTCTTATTGAGTTGTTGTTCTTCCACTTGGTTTTTTCTTTTTTCTTTTTTTTGTCTTTCTTTTGGTTTTGGGGTTGGTTCATGTATATTTTATTCTTTTCCCTGTACTCTTGTGAAGAACGTTGTTCTTTTTTCCTTTTCTTCTGTGTTTAGTACTTTGTTAAGTGTTTCATGTAGAGATGGTTTTGTGGCTGCATACGTTCTTAGGGATTGGATATCTGGGAAAGATTTTAATTCTCCCTCACTGATGAAGCTTAGCTTGGCCGGGTAGGTTATTCTTGGTTGAAATTGTTTATCTTTTAGGACTTTGAAGATAGGGCTCCAAGCTCTCCTAGCCTGCAGGGTTTCTGCAGATCAATCTGCTGCTATTCTGATTGGTCTTCCATGGTAGGTGATCTGGCCTTTTTCTCTTGCTGCCTTTAGGATTTTTTCTTTTGTGCCTACTTTATTTAGGCGAATTATTATGTGTCTAGGAGTTGGTCTTCTCATTTGTTGTCTTGCAGGGGTTCTCTGAATCTCTTGTGTTTGAATTTTTGTATCACTGATTAGATAAGGGAAGTTTTCTTGAATGATCTCATGGAAAGTTTGTTCGAATGTGGTCTCTGTTTCTCTTTCTGCCTCAGGGAATCCGATTATTCTTAGGTTAGGCCTCTTGAGGTAGTCACTCATCTCTTGAAGGTTTTGTTCTGTCTTTTTGAGCTTATTTTCTGTGTTTTTAAGAGTTTGGGTTATTTCTATATTTTGGTCCTCAAGCTCTGAGATTCTTTCTTCTGCTTGGGTAATTCTGCTTTCCATGCTTATCAATTTGTTATTTATTTCATTCACAGTATTCTTTATTACTGTTATCTCAGATATCAGCTCCTTCCTAGTTTCTTCTTGTGTCTCCTCAATTCTTTTTATCTCTCCATTATTGTTTTGATATCTACATTTGCATTTTGAGACCCTTCATTCTGGGGACTTTTCATTGTTTGTATTCCAAAGTCAATTTTCTCAGTGTCTGCTCTCCCAGGCGTCTGGGAGAGACCCATACTCTTCTTTTGGTTTTTCTTCATTTCTGCAGATTTTTCTCCCTCTCCCCCTTTCCCTCCCCCTCTTCAATTCTGTTTTTGAGGGAAGGTGGGGTTGCTTTTATTTCTCTTCTGCAATGACCTGTTCTTCCTTATGAGGGTCTTCTGGCTTTGTTCACTTTTCCCTCTGCTTTACAGTCTGTCTATTCAGCAGTATGCAGTCTTGGTCTGGTTAAGGGTCCATGTCCAAGAGCGGCCTGACTGACGTTCCCTCGACATGGTAGGGGGGCCACAGCTCCGCCACCTGCGGGGAGCCCAGCTCTGCAGTCGTCCGAGTCGCAGCGAGCCACACTCTGGGGTCCCGCAGCGCCGGAGTCCGAAGCACTCCATGGGAGGCCGCGGCCCAGGAGGCGGAACCGCGTTTCACCTTGGTGCTCGCAGACAGGATTCTCCTCTGTGTTTCTTGATGGTGTGCCCTTCCTTCCTGTCTTTCTTTCTTTCTTTCTTTCTTTCTTTCTTTCTTTCTTTCTTTCTTTCTTTCTTTCTTTCTTTCTTTCTCTCTCTCTCTCTTTCTCTCTCTCCCTCTCTTTCCCTCTCTCTCTCTTTCTCTCTTTCTCTCTTTCTCTCTCTCTCTGTCCCCCTCCCCCTCCCTCCCTCCCTCCCTCTCTCCCTTTCTCCCTTCCTCCCTCCCTTCCTCCCTCCCTTCCTTTCAATTATAGTTAGCCAAGGATAGAGACTCATGGGGCAGGATATAGGAAAGTTCTATGCATGGAACTTCCAGGTGTCATCTCCTAGTGGAGTAGTGGACAGCACTAACTTTCCTCATTACAATGTTTGACAACACACATGGAGTACTACCATCCACGGAAGCCATTCAAGCCTTGTGTCCAGATCCATTATTTTCAATGGGGCTCCTTTGCGTAGGCATAGTCAGTGGCCCTTATGACTGACCTCAGTCTCCATCCCCTTGAAAGGTCAAGCTAATACTGAGTGACTGGAAGTCCTTATCATAAATTATTGTTAAACTATCTGGTGTGATCCAAGTCCCCCAGGGAAACAAAGATGCTTTTATCAGGCAGAACATTCCAGGAGCTTAGAGGTTACCTCCCAGGAGTTGAGGGCAAAAGTCAGGCCTTCTTTTGAGCAAGACTAGATTCTTTATAGCTCAGCAATGTAATGCTAACATTTTATACCCTTCTTTTTGAATGCATTTGCTTGATACCATTATTCATAATATTCTTTGTAACTTTTTAGAAATTTTATTTCTGGCATGTGCCTATAAGCAACATGTGACAGGATTTTAATTTTTTTTCAAAATACCATTCTTAGAACTTTTGACTTTTATTAGAAGAATTTAAACCATTTACGTTTATCATAATTGAAATTTTTGTCCTGTTGTCTTTTTCTCTTGTCTTGTTCTGTTGTTACCTTTTGTTCTTCATTTTTTCTTTTTTGCAATATAGATGATGTTACTTGCAAGTTTGCGAGAAATGTTTTTAAATTCTGTTATATGTTGCCTTTGACTTCTCTTATATATGACATAAGTTTAGCATATCTTTATATCCCATGCTTTTCCCCTTTTTTGGGTCTTAATTTAATTCAAAGTTATTTTACTTTTTTAATTCAAGCTTATTTTACTTTGTTTCCCATTTTCTTAATCTTGTTTTATGTTTTTCTTTTGCACTTAATTTTATACTTACCACAGTTTTATGGTAAATATTCACAGCATATATACATGTAAATTTAATTGGCTTTAATGTTTATTGCCAGTCCTTTTATGTTTCATCTTTCCTATCTTTGAGTTTTTATTTCGTTTTAATTTTTTTAATTTATGATATATGTTTTGTGCTATATCTTTTGAACTTTTGTGTGTCTGGAAATGTCTTTTGCCTTTATATATGAATAACCACTTGGCTGTAAGAGAAGTATTTTATGGTGACATTGATCCAATGACTTTTAGTGTTACAGAGGCAAAGTCTTGAACCAACACATTTCTTTATTACTTGTAGGTAAATTGTTTTTCTCTCCACCTAAATGCGTAAAAGATATTTTTTTAGCTTTGAATTTATTTTTTTTTAAAGGAATAACCCATCTGCAGGATATACTAGAATACTCGTCTTGTTTTCATTAATTTTATCTAACATTTTATAAGTCTTTTTGATTTATAGACTCACATCTTCAGTTCTTAAAGTTTTGTTCTGTTACATCAGTATAGTATATGGGTTATCTCAGAATGGTCTTGTATTAAAATGCCACTCGTTTCCTTCTGCTACCCTGCATGATGCCCAGCCCTCATCTGTTTTTCAGTGGTCTGCCCACTTGCCCAACAATAGTGTGCTTCTCCCAACTGCCTTCTGTTTCCTGCCATGCTAGATGTGGGGAGATTGGTCTCCAAATGGAAAAGGAAAGGTGTTGGGGGTGAAAAAATGGGGGAAGCAGAACTTTAGTCCCGATAATAGTTATGAGAAGATTGAAAATGTTCTAGTCAGTGCTGTCTGGTCTGTCAGTGTTGCAGAGCTAGGCATAGAGGTGATGGTTGTAATCAGAAATTTCTCTGCTCTTTTTGATATTGTCTGCATTCTTCTTTTCAATGGAATAGACTGTTTTATACTCAGTTCAAGTCTGTTTTTTCAGTCCATCCCAGTCAGGTGCTGTTTGTAGCCTTTATTAACCTTTTAGTTTTTAATGCCGTTGTCAGTTGTTTCTTCCTGTGTGTGCCTGTAGGTATTTTGATAGAACTTGACAAGAAGTGTGCCTGGCATAACTTACCTGCCAGTGGTAACCTCAGTGTGTTCAGTATAGCTTTTTTCTTTACTCCATCCTGCAAAAGTATTCCCAGTATTAGACTTCACTTTTCATGGGTGTCCCTCCGCATTCTCTTCCATTCCCTCTAGGCCCTGGTGAGCCATGGGTTCTTGGCAGTAACTAGTCATGCCAGAACCCCCAGGTTACAAGGATGTTCATGGTGGAGCTCCTCCTGGTGATAAAGGCCTTCTTGAGCTCCTTAAAGCCTTCTGATCACCTCCTCTGTTTTGTGACCATTTCTCTGAGTGCCCCCTAAGCTTGGGCATTTAGTAACTTATGCAGTCACTCATTTTTATGGCAAGTCCAGCATTATCACTTGCTTCTTCCAAGAGCAATAGTGGACAAGAACTGTAGTAATGAATATTCTTTATGGTAAGTTAGAGTAAAAAGGTCACATCAGAGTGAATAACACACATTGTTCCCCATACTACTCGTCCTCCTTCCCCTATTTTATTGCTGCTGCTCTGGGTGACTTGAGCCACAACTGATTTTTTTGGTACATGCAGTTATTAGTGTCTGTTAATGTGTGAAGATGATTTAGGCAGGTGTGGTGTTTAAGAAAACCATAATTATCTAAGAATCATTCCTATCTTTTAGCCTTCTATGTAATAGTTACAATTATTTTCTTATTCTTTTTTCAATATAATTGGGGAAAGAAAGGAGTCACAGATTTCTTAATTTAAACATGATTTATACATGATATATCCACTCTGACAAAACTTTGATTGAATAAGAAGTGGAAACTAAATGTTTGAAAGGCTCTTTGTAAGTTTAAATTATTAAGGCATCTACTTTAATAAGTATAATTCATCTCAGAGGTCAGCATGTGAACCAAATTAGTCCATGGCCAGTATTTTCACAGACCAGGAGATAAGCATGGCTATGTTTTCCAGGGGTTGCTTATAAGAAAAATTAAGAAGAAGAATATATGATAGAGGCTAGGATGTGGCCCACAAAGCCTAAAATATTTACTCTTTGGTTCTTCATAGAAATAGTTTACCAGTCTCTGATCTGGTTTGAATATTCCTATCTCACATAGGCTAGCAGTAACAGAGTGGTTAGAGTATGTACATAATTTTGTACCTGACACTAGATCCTTTACATACTGTCTATACACACATGTGATTCTTGGTGCCTCATTTGGTAATGGCATTTATATAAAGGCTTGGACAGGTATTATGAATTTGTTTGAAATTGCAAATTTGACATCCATATTTTATTCAAGAGTTTTTAAAAGGATCAAATAATTGAAATGAATCATTGGGCAATCTTTCTATAACTTTTATACATACTTTTTTGTTTCCCAGATATAAACTTTATATGTTCATATAAACATTTTGTGTTCAACTGCTTCACATAATTAAGTTTTAATAGATTAGAAACAGTAACAAACCTGTGATCATGCACCAAGTTGCTTATTGAGCTATTCTACTTAAACATGTTTTCAGAGAAAATAAAAGGTCAAGTGAACCAGACATTGGGTTATTTGGTTTAATTTTCTGGAAAATAGAATTGCCTTTATCAGATCCCAGTGTCTCTGGGTCCTCATGCTTGGCTGACAGCTTGACAGTGACTCTGCTGTGGTGGGGATGAGTGGGAGGAAGTTGCCTTGTCAGCAAAAAGGACTGTAAACTGAGCTGAGGAGATCAGTGTCACCTCATCTTGACCTGCTGATCAGTGATGAGTTTTGTCATGGTTAGAAATGGTGGCTACATGATTTCCTTTAATACTAATTTTGACATAGAAAGTATCATTTATGGTAGGGCTATTGTAGGAGCTAATGTCTTATGCCAGTACTTGCTCGATGAAACTCCAATGTGTGCCAAATATATTTTAGCAACTATGATTGTCAGAAAATCGTAGTATTTTAAATAAAGAGTATAAGTGATCTGATCATATTCAACATGGGAATCTTTCTAGTTTAACTTTTTAATATTTAGGCATAATCTGTCTCCTGTCCTTAAAGATAGAGGAGGAAATTATTTTCCATTTAACTTAATAAATTGAACTTAAGTTTAAGCTTTGATATGTGGAAACATTTTATGTCAGTGTTACCATATAATCCAAATTTGAAACATCAAAAAAATTACTTTCTCTTCACTCTTGAATAACCATGACAATTAAAAATACAATGGCTGATTTTTCCCCCAAATATATTTATTTTTCTTTCTGTGAATGTGTTACTTTAATAGAGGAACAGTATGTTTATTTTAGAATTTCAAACAAAATTTGAGATGGCTTTATCCCCAAAAAAGGGTAAAAAAAGAACAAGATCAGAATTAAAAACTAATTAAAATGAGCAGATAAATAGATGTTATCAGACATGGAGAATTTATTCATAGTGCATCTGAGCGCTGAACTTGACTCAGAACAGAAATTCAAGGGAAATACATTTAATTGAATAGGTCTGATAAAAGAAATACACATCTTTGTTTGGTTTGTATTTTTTTTTCCTTTGGCATAAATCTATCAGTTATGATGGTGGGTTAAGGTAGAATCTGTAGTTCCCTTTTAAGGATGAGTTTTGTCACTGAATGTTAAATAGCTAATATATGAGGAATGTTTGTTTCAATGTATTGGCTATTGAAGACCATGGAGTTAAACATCCTGCGTTTGAGTTTTTGCTAGAGCAAGTTATGTGAAAAAATAAAAATCCTGGGTGTCTTAGCAGCTATCATTTTGGGGAGAAGAGGCTTCTTTTATTTACAACTGATTGCAGTTCCTAACTGACATAATAAGTGTTTATTTTAAAGATATGAAAACAGAAGCTTACACTGTATGGGTTGCTTGCCCATACTAAATGGGCAGTGCAGGATGAGGTTTTCTGTATTGGGTCATATTGCTTAAATGTACATTTTGGGTTTGGCTTTGTGACCTTGGTCAACCTGATTCATTTCATGGAGCTGTGGTTTTCCTGTTTGTAAAATAGAAATAATATTGGAAGATACATCACTGCCTTCTTAAAAGATAAACGCTATACAGTAGAGACTTATGCTGTGCTTATGTGATCGTAGCTCAATGTTTGCCTTGCTATTTTTATTATTTTTATTTATCATTTTGAATTTGAAATTGTATTTGGCCAATTTTCTTTTGAAAATTTTCTTAGTTTTCACCAAAATAAGCCTGATATGCTGTGTTTAAAAGCTCTCCTTTTCAGTGGGTGAAACAGTTTTTGAATATAAATTATTAAATCATCCCCTAATAATCTTTATCAGATTCAGGCAGACATAAATCAATAACAGAAAAAAACTCCATTGTAATTTGTACATTCCCCAGTTGATGTTTTGGTAGATGTAGCTAGGTATTTCTTGGGAACCTCTAAGGAAAGTAACTTATTGTAGATTGAATAGAACATGAAGATATGTATTTTGTCATGTTATATCCCAAGGCTGAAATTAAATGTTTTGAAGTTGGTAGACTCTAAATAGTAATGTTTCTACTTTGCAAATGGTGAAACTAAGGAATAAGAATGACTTTCCTGTGGTCAAATATTGACATTACAGTTTGAGTATCCCTTGTCTGAAATACTTGGGGCAAGGAGGATTTAGAATCTTTTCAGATTTTGGGATATTTGCATTATGTTGTTACTGGTTGAGCATCTCCAGTCTGAAAATCTGAAATCTGAAATCTGAAATGTTCCAATGAGCATTTCCTTTGAATGTCACGTTGGTGCTCAAAAGTTTCAGATTTTGCAGCATTTCAGATTTTCAGGTTGGGGATACTCAACCTATAGTAATAAGACCCCAGGATACCTCGAGCCTTCCTTTTCTTTATAAATCCAACTGTTTACTAACCACTGAGTCTTGAAGGTCAGATGATTGGGTATGTGTTATATACTGTTTTAATGATACTAAACTGCAAATAGCTTAGACTGATGTCTGCTGGGCACTTTTCAGAGTGATGTGTTTGTGATCTTTTCCAGTAGTGAAAAGAATGTGACCATTTTAAAAGCTGCTTGAAAATGTCATTTTGATGTAGTATATCCCCACCTATTAAAATGACCCATATTTTAACAAGATTTTATTTTCTAGCCATCCATCAAAAACTAGAAGCGGATGGAACAGAAAAAGTAGAGGGATCCATGACGCAGAAACTGGAGAATGTTCTGAACAGTAAGTGTTGTCTACCACCCAAAACTATTTATGGACTTTGTAACAAACTTTAATATAGGTCATGGACCTGACTTTATAGGACAAGGCAGTAAGTTGCATTTTAGTATTTATTTCTAAATAGAAATGATTTAATAAACATAATAAAGAGGAATAGAAACATTGGAAATGAATGTTCTGTTTCTGTTTGCATAGTATTTATGAGAAATCATAATTTGAAAACAAACCAATATACTTCATAGGAAATAAAATCTGCCACCATAAGACAGACCGGTTTATTATGATTAGCATCATCAGAGATAGGAAAGTGCTGAGAAAATAGCCAGGATTGTCATTGACCAAAAACTGGGAAAAACTGTCTATTAGGATGACAGATATGTAGGTGTCATTTATTTGTATATGCTTTGCCTTTTTCCACAAAAGGATTTGCAGCTGGATATTTAAGAATATATCTAAATCTGAGACATTTTGTAAAAATTATAAGCCCAGGAAAAGCTAAAGTTTATGTATAAAGTTTTGAGTCCTGTTCATCTTCTCTTTTGTCCTTTTTAGTTCCCAGCTATTTATCCTAGTGATTTAGAAAAAACTCATTATATTAATTAATCCTTATTATGATATTAGTGGCTTAAAAATAAGTCATCCTCTTTTCATGCATATATTAACATTTGATATGAATCTCCTTAGGAATCTCCTTGTTTTTAAATGTAACATGATTTTGTCTTGAAGTTAGGCTAAGAAAAAATTAAGAAACCTCATATCAGATCTTTAAAGATTCTATGACTACAGGACTGTGATATGAAGTTAATTTTGCATTTCTAGCCTAATTAGTTCCCATGAGTAGAACTTTCTGAGCGTTTACATAAATATCTGTTTTCAAGCCTAGAGAATCCCTAATAAAATATTTTCTAGAAGGAAGATTTAATTTGGTGTGGGCTTTCCTTGGTAGTAGAATTTAAGTACTTGGATTTCATTCTAAATTTAAAAATTTGACAGCAGTTACAATTTTTTTCTTCTGATTATTTTTATTACCATTATTATTACTTATCTTGAGATTTTGCTTTGTTTTTATCTTTGAGCATCAAGTCACCAACTTTGTTACAATGGATATATTCTGAATTCAACTCAAATACTTATTGAAGCTATTTCTGTGTTAGCATAGTCAAACATTTTAAGGTCTTGGAAGGATATTTTCTGCTCAGTGATGTTATGTGCACTAAAGAAGTTATCATCAAACTAAGATACCTGTTCTAAAAACAAGAATACTTCCATAACTTTTAGAAGGTGACTTGTAGGAACAGCTGACATAATAAGTATATTATTGAGTTGGTAAAAGGGATACTTGTTAAGGTTTGAAAAATGCTAAGGTCTGTTGCATGTGTTAGGCTTAGCATAGTGTGGTTAGGTAATTTTTTCTTTTAAGAAGTAGTTTGTGGAATGATTCTTTGAAACTTGTAGTATTAAAAGTTGTAAGGGAAATTGTTTTACTTATATTCCTTTATAACCATGAGCTTTTTCCAGAAAATTGTCATAATGACTTTCTGTTGAAGTTTTTCTGTTTTGGGATAAACTTCAGTTTAATTTAAATGGTCACTTCTTTTTAAGACCTTCCTTCAGGACTTTTTGGTGTAAAAATTTCCTTAAAATATATTTCTTTATAACAATTCCTTTTTATCCAGAAGCATTCTTTATCCACATGATGTTGATGTTTGCTGTCTTAGGTTAAGGTCAACTTGACAAGTGTTTACTTAGTGCTGGTGTGTGAGTCCCATACTGAGCTGCCAGGGACACAAGGCCGGAGGGGACATAGCTCCAGCCCTGGGACAGTCTCTCCTTCCCAGACTGGGTTTTGTCATTATCTGGGACTTCAGTGCTGTAGAACTGGGGAAAACAATTAAAATCAGGAAAAACTCAATTATTACTATTGAAAATTTAGTTTCTTTTCTTTTGGAAAGGAAGGAACAAATGAGTATTAATGTAGTTTAGTTTGTTCAGATTATTGCTAAGGCTTTTATATATAATTACGTGCTAATTCATATGAATTCTTCTTTAGTTTTTTAAATGAGAGTATTTTTAAAAATATGGGCAATCTTTCTTCAAGCTAAGCTTCTAAAGGATTATGTTGGCTATAAGAAATGTAGTCCATTTTATTCTGAGTAGATCAATGTTGACACTTTACTGAACTTTTTTTTGTTTGTATTGGTGTGTATTTCTCATGTTGGCCTTTGACCTTAATTCCTTCTCAGTTTCAAGCCATTGTTAACCTGTAGTTTATTCATATCAAATGAACGTATTTATATCTGTGTTCTTATCTTTTGCAAGAGTATAGAGCAGCATTGTTCAGTAGAACTTCTGCAGTGAGGAAATTGTAGCTATTGAGCAGTTCAAGTGTGCCTAGTACAGCTGAGGAATTGCATTTTAAATTTTTATTCAATTTTCATTGCTTAAACTTTAAATTGAGAAGGCCCCATGTGGCCAGTGGCTACTGTATTATAACAGGGTAGCAGATGCAGACAGTACTGTGTTAGTATTGGTATCAATAGTTGTGGTAGTTATAGCTAAGACCTGTGTGGTATCTGCTAAGGGGCAGGTGCTGCTCTCAGCAGTCTATGTATATTTAGTCCTCACAGCAGTTCTTGAGATTTATGTTGTTAACTTCATTTTATTGATGAAGATTAAATGAGCTACATAAAGTCATATAAATAGTAAGTGGCAGAACTGAGATATATCTACAGAAATCTGGCTCCAAATTTGTGCTTTAAACTAGGTATCCTTATGCATGGTTTGGATAGGCACAGATTTCAATCACCATGGTTCAATTAAATAACACCCTACGCCCAGCAACACAGTGCAGATTCCAGTTATAACTGCCCCAAGTACGAAATTCCCTGCTAGCTCTTCAGTCCCCAGGTTGCAACTAGCATGTACACAGGGTGAACAGTCATGTCACTACTTTCAAGAGCCAAGGAGTACCTGGTCACTATGCCTTGATAAATCCAGTGACGTTTTACAAAAAATGAATAATCCAAAGGAATTCACCCATAAAGATGAAAGTGTATCAAAAAACAAAAAACAGTAACATGAAAAGTGAAATTCAAATCTAACAAATGGAGTTATGGAAGAAATAGCTGACAGTGGGAATGTGGACTCTGCTGCAGTTTGAGACTCAGTGGTGGAGACCTGATCACTGTAAATGAGAAAGTGTTTATGAAGAAAAGCATGAGGTGTCCCAAAGGAAGTTATGTTCAAAGGAACCCTCAGAGATGTTTCACAACGTTGAAAGTGCAAAGGATAAAATATCAGAATCTGATTCACACTTTGAGTATGATAAATTTGTTAAAGCATAGAAAAGATGCTTGATATATAATTATAAATTTTATGACAAAAAGAAGTCAAAGACGCTTGATAAGTTTTTCTATGAAGTACTTTAATTTGTAATGTTTCTAATGTTTTAAATTATAGTATACTAAATATTAGTTTTACTATTTAAAAAATTTTGTTATTCATTAATAGCTAATGTAAGCGAGTTTTTAATGTTGCAGCAAACATTTTTAGAAGTCACAGCTGTAATTTTCCCATTGATTCTGCAGATCACTTTACTGGGCTTCAGCTTACTCATCCCTGTCATAACCCTGTTGTTTTGCGAAGCGAGACCTGCCATGCTGCATGGCACCACCTCTCCAAGTAGGGATAATACTGGTCATCAGTTCCGAGACTGAGTTTTAGTCCCTTGCTCTGTAAGCATGTATTGAGCACATGTTTGTTTTATTCCAGGGGTATAAAAATAAAACTTGTACTCTACTTCTAAGAGATTATAATCTAATGGAATACACAGACACAGAGCAGGCCATTGAATTATGGTGTGATGATACTCTGCAGGTAGTCATCCTGGGGTGTGTCTGGAGCCTGAATATGGGCAACCCACCAAACAGTTGAGTGGAGAGAGCAGGGAGTGCCCAGACAGGCAGAGGCTGGAGTGGGCAGCCGAGTGGAGGGATACAAGTGTGTTCCAGCAGGGCTGGCAACTTGAGAGAAGGCTCTGAGTTCTGAGAGGAGATGAGCTGCAGCCCAGGAGCAGGAGCTAGTGGCTGGTGTGCAGATGTAAGAGGCGAGCTGCAGGGGATGGGGTTGCTCATGACACACCTGCTGTGCTGTCATGTGGAGTTTCCTCAAGTGGATGAAGGAAGAGCAGGTTTGGATATGAGGAGAAGAGTGGAGAGGAAAAATTCAGTTCAATATATGAGTGAGATTTCTAGGGTCATTTGTCATTTGTGTTGTGATGGGATAGGAGGGGTTGCTCCTTTTGTTCTGCCTCGATCCCCCCAGTTTTCATCAAGCAGAGAGTCCAGATTAAAAATCACTTTTGTGATTTACTGTCTTAAGTGTCAGTACCAATGCAGGGACCAATACAGCCACTTTGAAATCAGAGAAAACATAATGTTCACTTTAAATAAACATGCTTGAAATTTTAAGACACCATTAGAATTACAGAACTAGGTTTTCTAGATGACAGGAGTTCCTGGCACATGTAAAATACTTTCCATTGTTAATGATATGAGCTCCCTGAGCAGGTGTGAGTTCCATTGGTTGGTGTGCAGTGCTGCAGTGACTTTTCTTCCCATCTTGCACTGTATGAAAATTATATTGCTCTACGTTGGGGGCAGACACACTGTTACCACAGCGTTACTGTTAGTTCTCAGGGTTCCTGTGTGACTGAGACAATGACAGTAATTGTCCAAATTAGCTAGTGTTGAGACCATCTCCCAGTGAGGAGAAAAGACAAGCTCAGGTCTAGATTTGTCCAGGGCTGGTGAATGTAGCTGTTCTGCAGCCTTAAAGGTCAAAATCATGGTTTTAATGGCCACCTAGTCCAGTTAGACTTGTTTGACGGCCGACACTGGACACTCACACCCCTGCTGACTGCTCGACACTGGGTGTTTTTCGTGTGAGAAGGAAATGAGAGTTTGTATGGACTGGCACACGTGGGAGTTTCATACTAGGGGACTCTGAGAATGCCTTCTTGATGGCTGTGTCTGTGGCATCAGCCTTGTGTATGAAGAGCACCCCTTTCTTCAGTAGCTTTGTTTTCTTACTAGTAGCACTAGAGAAGGAAAATATCAAATGCATTTTGTGAGCTGCTGGCGATTTTTATCTATTTGCACAAATCTTGGTTTCACTGCTCTTCTGTATTTTATTACCAGAGATATCATCTAGTTCTCAGAGTTATGAACTGCAGTTTTGCTGCAATAAATTTTTTTTAGTACAATAAAATCCACAATAGAATAATATGTAGACAGAAGTTATCTTTAAATTAAAGTTATCATCTTATAATTTCTTCACATTTGTTTAAATTAAACTTCTATAAATATATATTTTTCAGTATAAATAAAATTATAATTTTATAATTTATAATTTCTGTCTATACATTTTTCTTTATGCTTATATTTTATTTAAGTATTAGTGGATTTTTTCTGTACTTGTTTTTATACTTTTTAGAGGAGTTAAAATTATTAGTTGGTAATTTTTTTACTACTTTAAAAATAAGATGAGAAAAGTTTAATTTTGAACTTTTATAATTTTTTGCCTCACATTTCTTCATTAAACAACAACAAAAAAATGCTTGACGATTTAACCTTCAGATTCCACACATGAGTAATAAACCTTTTAAAAAGATTTAGTTCCTCTCACATTTCTGTTCATTTATGAAGCCTCAATTTACGAAATTTATATTTTTTAAATGATAAACAAATACCTTACAGATTTTTTCTTTGAGGAAAAAAGTTTTAATTCTAATCAGATTTCAAGTCTTCATTTAGCCTTTATTATGTGGTTTGGTATCAAAAAGCAAATATATTTTTTCTCATCTTACAGTAGAAATTTCGTGTTCTACATTAAATAGCATGTGGTGAAAACTGCTATCTTGACAAAACAAAGTTTTTATATCAGGCCTTTAAAATTTCAACAGAATTTAAACATTATTTAGATAAAACAATCCTGTTACAAAGATGACTTTAACACGGCTAGGCCACCCACAGTGTGGACTGGAGAACATGGCATGCAAGCCACCCAGTGAGGCTGGGGTGCGTTCTTCATCTTTGCTTAGAATATAGTCACCAGACCAAATGATGTAGAAACTTTCACAAGCAGCGATCAAACAGCCGAAAACAGTTTATCTTTTTTCTCCTTTTTCCTTATGGCTAATTAAAAATAATTCACAAGTTGCAAAATTTAAACTATTTTTGGACACAGCAAATTTTGCTTTAGATAAAGCAACTCTTTCATTCTGTGATTAATATAGTTTCAGGTCTTTTAGATTTAAAAAAAACTTATGATATGTCCAGTTTATATAGGATTTTATAAGAATTGGTTGATTTAAGTAATATTTATGGTCCTATTTTCAAGTTTGTCATTTTAAATTACTTATGTAATTTTCTGTGCCTGCTATATAAGGAGGTAATTCTGTCAAGAAATGAGTTTGTTTAAAAATATTTCTTTTGAGAAGTTTTTCTGAAAACTATTTTCTTTGTTTTGTTTATTATCCCATATGTAGATACTGAACACACGGAATTTAACTAATTTACATATGTGTGCACACATGTGCATGTGCTTTACTCTATTTTCTGGAGTAATTAAATAACCTAAGGGCTTATAATTGCTATAAAGTTTAGAAGAGTAAGTAAAATAAGTGTAGGTTCATGTTAGAGAATTTATTTAGGCATGGTAAATATGGTTGTTTTTATATTGGATACCATTCTTAACATATGAAAAGACTGAGGCAAAATGGAGATTTTATTTTAGCAAAATGTAAAAGATCTGCAATATAGCTAACTTTAAAACACAGTCTATTGGATTTTAATGTAAAGCTACTTATAGCAGTCTAACATTTTTTTCTAATGTCCAGTTACGCATTTTATGATTAAAATCAGTTCCCATCTAAGTTTCTTTCTCTCCTTTTAAAATAGGAGCAAGTAATACTGCGGATGCGTTATTTCAAGAAGTATTAGGTCGAAAGGACAAGGCAGATTCCACAAGAAATGCACTCAATGTGCTTCAGCGATTTAAGTTTCTTTTCAACCTTCCTCTAAATATTGAAAGGAATATTCAAAAGGTAGAGTACATATTTATTTATGTACGTATAGTTATAGCTGTCATAAATTTTAAAGATTTAAGTTTTTTTTTTAATCTTAACCAAATGTCTTCTTTATGCTTTACTGACAGTCTCTAAAATGTTTCTTTATTTTAAAGGGTGATTATGATGTGGTTATTAATGATTATGAAAAGGCCAAGTCACTCTTTGGGAAAACAGAGGTGCAAGTTTTCAAGAAATGTAAGATTTGTTTATTGCTTTTAGATCTTCTACTTTCTTTTTATAGGAAGAATGTGAAATATATTCTGCAAAGAATGTTACATGAGTTTTAGTTTTCGTTTATATGGTGCTGTCTTTAAAATATAAAACAATTACTTCAAAAATAACATGACAACTTTCTTTTTCGAGATATAAAAATGAGCAGCCACGGAGATAGATTAGCCTTGAACATTCTTTGCCGTTTGCTGACCACGATGCTATTACAGCATTTTTTTAATGGAAAGAATCAATGACAGGTATTTTACAGAGATGGAAGAGTACATTTTAGTCTTCCCTCTTCAGAAAGACCAATATATTTATGTACTCTAACCTTATTTAAAGGAAACTGAATAACTTATAAAATTATCTCTAATGCCAGTGTTGCAGAAAGTAAGAAGAGCTTAAAATGCCCTGCAGTAAAGTCTTATCAACTAGGAGAACTATCACAAGGTTTTATTAAAGTCATAGACTTAGAAAACTAAATATGTTTTTTTCATTGTGGTAAAATTGACATGTAGTGAAACACACAGACCTGACATGTTGCAGGGCAGTGGGTTTTGATGAATGCATACACCCACGCAAGGTGTGGTGTTTGATTACTCCAGGGAGGGCCCTGGTCCTCTTCTCAGTCAGCCCCCGTCCCTACAAGCAGCCACTCTTCTGCTTTCTGAAATTTGACTTTAACTTTCCTTTCTGTAAATCTTGTATATTCTTTTCTTTTTAAACAGATTATGCTGAAGTAGAAACATGGATTGAAGCTTTAAGAGAATTACTTCTGGATAAATTGCTTGAGATGCCATCAACCTTACACGACCAAAAGCGTTATATAAGGTAAACCTTCTCTAAGAATTTTGATGAATCACATATATCTTTTTGGTACTGGATGCATTATATAATCCTGCTTTGAGGAAATTAGAAGATTGATGAGATGGTAAAAGGAAGACAAATGTCAGACACCAAAATTCTTTAGAATATTAATATATTTGGGAGCAGTTACAGTGTACTCACTTTTTAAGGACAAGAAAATCCTGCCAGTTTTGGGAAAGGAAAGGTAACATCCTTTCTCAGTCACCTCTTCCTCCTGCTGAAAAATGGGCTGCCTAAACTAACAGTATAGTGTGGATACAGAACCCTTGGGTTCCCATAGTCCATGAAGTAAGGGCTCTCTCTATGGTTTAGAGTGGAATACTGTCTCGCAGTAGGTAGGAAGTTCTTCATGCCACAGGATTGTGCTGTGGCTCAACGATAGAAAACGTTCTGAAAGGTTTTAGCCTTGAATACCTATCTGATTTACATGCTTTTAGTGATCAGTAAAAGAGAAATAAAATTACTGAGAATACTTAAAAAAAAGTAGCAGTGATATTAAAAGAGATGGACATCACAGGATATGAAGAGAGAGCCTTAGAAAAAGGAAGCAATATCACATAATGGAAACTAGCTGTTCACTTTCTGAGATTTCCTTGAATTCTCTTTTTCTGTTTATTCATCTGTGAGATGGACAGGATAACATGGTCTCTCAGGGTGGTTGCAAAGATACTCAAGAATTTAACACAATGTCTAACATGTAATAAACTGTCAGTAATTTTTTCATATGTGTAGTTTATACCAGGATTTGGAGGCAAAGTATATAATTTGTAAGCTTTTTATATCTGTTATTAAAAAATATTAACTTTTATTTTCTGCTGGAATATTTTTAGTGTGGCCTTTGTTCTCAGAATAAGCTGTTATTTTCCATATTTAATGACTGCTCCTCTTTAATTAGTGAAGTTGATTGGATATCCAAGTAGTTATAAAATAATAATTTTTTTGTTATTATTTTTGCATTTGGCTGTGGCCACCATGCAACCATTGTTGGGGGGAATAAAGGTCTGACCTCCAAGCTGCTGTGTGTATAGTTGTGGGGGATGAGGTCCACTCAGACCTGTGTTCTAGTACCTAGATGCATGGTGGGAGCATGAGCCATTGTCCCTTGGGCAACAGTTTGCCCAAGAGGAAGGGAACAGAGGCTCTGGTGGTGAAATGGAGAGAGAGTACGAACATTACTGGCTGTTGCTGCTGCATGTGTGTAATGCGCTCACTACCATGTGGGATGTATTCTGTGTGTCCTCTGTGATCTGGATAACCAAAATAAAAGGCACTCTATGGTAATTGTTACACAGGTGAAGACACTGGAGCTCACCCAGCACACAGAGAGGAGGGTGCCTGTTGGCTTTCAGAGCCTACTCTTGCTTCTCTCTGCACTGCCTCCATAAGGAAAGAGTGTTCTGGGAAATTTTCTGGCTTGTAGAATCCTAGAAATTTGATGCTGGAAATAAAGTACACATCAGTTATCCAACTGTTTGATTTTACATATGAAGAAACAGAGTTCCAGGGACGTTGCATGTCCTGTCCAGGACAGACTGCTGGTCAGCATCGGATGTCCTAATGCTTGCTCTCTGTTTTCTGCTCTACTACTTCACTGCTTATGCTTTTTATGTACTTTCTTACCTGTTTACATTTGTGATATTAGATTTGCCTGTAATAGTATGCTAAATCATATTGAGTATACAGTTTCTTTATGTTGTGAATTACTGTTTATATGGATAACTTATACAGGTCTTATGATAGCTAACTTAATGGATATCACTTAAAAGATGGTGGTGTAAAAAAATGCTTTTATACGGCCTTTTAGCTGCTTTTCCCTATGTCATTTTAAAGAGAAAAGAGCAAAATGTCAGCAAGTCAATAATAGTTATGCATATTTTTTAGTGATTATTTTATGATGCTTTGAGAAGACACTAAGCAACTTTTTTACCTTTTTAAATTAAATTTTTGATCATTAATAAGTAGAAAGATATGATCTGAGCTAATCAGAATATCTGTTGGACTTTGAAATCTGTGAGCACCAAGTGGGGACAGAGACAGTTTTATCATGAACAAAAATACATCTGTATTAGTTTTCTTACATAATTCAAGTTATGCATGGTAGAAGTGAAAATCAGATTATTACGGATTACCTTACTTTTGTTCAGTATTTTGTCTAATTTAAAACTCCTGGTTCTCCTTACTCTCCTTATTCTGCCTTGATACTGTCAGCAACATGTTAGTAACTTTAGCAAGAAACCAAGCTTTCCAGGTCATTATGATCCTGTTCCTGGGAATTGTTAAAGATCATATTTAATTCTTAGATTTTAAAATATTAAGCATATTTTCATTATAATAAACATTCTTTACCTTGTTTTTTTCTCTAAAGAGTCTTTTGAAAAAATATTCCTTGATATATAGTTTTAATCGAAATGGCAATAACATGTAATATATTCTAAACAAAGATTTTTGAAATGAAACTTATTTTTAAGCTGCATACTTTAAGAAAAAAAAGAAGAGACGTATTGGAAGAGCCTAGTACAAGTCATTGTACTTTTGAACTGAAACACTAGAATTTCTAAGAGAACAACTTCTTGCTATGTAAAACTTTTATAAAATCTTTTACTTTATACTTACTAATAAGATAATAGAAAAAGTCTTATTAAATTTTGTGAGGACACAATTGACATACTAAAGAGACTTATAATTTTAAAAGTTACTAAGCAAGCTTATTAATTTCTCTTGCTGTACTGTTGGAGAAAGAACCCTTGTACTGAACCATCTACATTCCTATTCAGTAGTTTAAAAATAAAAAAGAAGCAACTTCCCTGAAAAAATATTCCTATATCTTACTACAAATACCCAATCTGAAGATTATGTAAGTTCAAGCATTAGGAGAAAGTGTTGCAGAAGTGTTTGGAGGCAAAACTAGCCTATTTAAATAGGGAGAATGCTAAAACACATTATCCCTGTCAAGAAAGCATAAAATCACATGTTCTTTGGGAAGAAAAGACATAATGTACTGTTGTTTTATGTATATTTTAAATAATAATAGAGGAAAGCCTTGTGTGAGAGAAAGAATCAGATTGGATTTTGGAAGCTTTGAAATGAATTCTATATGCCAAGCTAAATACAATTTTTTAGATTGTAGTTTTCTTCTCAGGATATCATTCTCATATATGAGAAGGAATCCTAGGTAACTTCTTAATGTGAGTAAAGTTCTTTCTTTCAGTGAACTTGTCCCTTTCTCAACTCACAGGCACAATCTGTTTGCAACCTGTAAGTAGTCATAGGGTAGAGGGGATAGTGCCTGTGTCTGTGAGTACTGTGACATGGCCCTTCTGCAGGTAATCAGGTGTCTGACCTCACCAGCAACCAGGCCCTTCTGTTCACCTATGAAGGTCAGGGTCATTCGGGATAGTTCTCAGCATTTTATTTGTTAATTATTTGCAAAGTATATTTTTCTCCTCTAATTAGCTGCTATTTGGGATATCTGAGTAATAAATACCTACTACTAGAGAAACATGGGAGGGAAGCATCAGAAGTGTTTCTAAGGGATTAAGATTTGGCTTGAGGTCACAGCTTGGAACCATCAATGACAGTTTACTGTTGAACAAAAATCTTAAACCTGAAGACAAAGGACAATGTATTGCTTAAAAATAGTTTTATGACAATAAATTCATGTGGACATGCTTTTGAAGTTGATTTAATTGAGTTTAACTTGGTGTATTTATATATTTTGTGAGGGTTGAGGACCAAACCTTGAATAATATTCAACAGAAAGTTTTCATTCGAAATATATTTAAATTGTTTCTGTTGGTTTGAGTATTTTATGTACAAAGGAGACTTGAACTATTTTAAGAACTATTTAGATACTAAGAAAAACACTCAACTGTACTATATTTTTTAGAGAAATATTTTCTCAAACAGTCATGAATGTGTGTAGACTTTAGAGGTGAGTGTGTGTTGTCACCAAATCTCTTCATGTAGAGGAACCTTAGTTTCAATGAGCCTTTATTTAGTTCGTCATGGCAAGCAGTTCCACACTGCCATCTTATGGCCATATTTCTATAAAAAAGGAATAAAAACGGCTGAACTTTGAAAAATTTTCGTCCACTGTCCTCTGTTGGTTCCTACAGTTTCATATGATGACTTTAAACTAAGTAGAAACACCCTGCGAACTAAGTGTAAATATAAATAAAAGTGCTTACCCAGAGATAGGATTGCTGCAAATTGTCTTTCTCTTTTTACAAAGAACTAATATTATAAAAAGTTTTATTAGTAATGCATGAGAAGAAATTTGAATAAATTTCATTGAGAACTAAATATTAAAGACTATAATATTTAGACAGATGCTTAACTAAATTGATACAATTTTAGTCTTTCTTTAAAAATGCAATGATTTTAAAACATGCTGGCTTTTCCTTTTAGCCTCACTTCTGATGGAGGAAGTCTTCTTTTGCCAACCTTGGACTTGCTTTTTCAGGTATCTGTCTGACCTTCATGCCCCTGGAGACCCTGCGTGGCAGTGCATTGGAGCCCAGCACCAGTGGATCCTTCAGCTCATGTACAGCTGCAAAGAGGGCTACGTGAAAGACCTCAGAGGCAAGGCTTTTGCTTCCAGTCATTCTGCTGTCCTGTGTGTCATGTTAGCACACTTCAGGAATGCTTAATGGTTAAGGGAATGATTACTTGATTTCCTTGGTATCTCTTGGTTTTTGTTTGTTTTGTGTGCTTTGGACCACCAGTTAGCATTATAGCTGAGAGTGAGTACCAGAAGGAGGCAGGGAGAAAAGGGAGAAGATTCTCTTGCTGTGTCTGTTTTTTTGGTTGGCTAGCAGTATGGACAAAAGTCTACTTTTGAGTAACAGGAAACAGTTCATGGAGGCAAGGTGATGTAGAAATGATACTAATCTTTTTTTTTTTTTTTTTTTTTTATGAGTTGGAGTCTTACTCTTTAGCCCAGGCTGGAGTGCAGTGGCGTACTCACACCCACCCCAGTGCTGACCTGCTGGACTCTGGCGATCCTTAACACCTCAACCTTCCAAGTAGCTGGAACTACAGGCACGCACTACCACACCTGGCTAATTTTTTATTTATTGTAGAGACTAGGTCTCACCAAGTTGCTGAGGCTGGTCTCAAACCCATGGGCTCGGGCAGTCCACTTGCCTCAGCCTCCCAAAGTGCTGGGATTACAGGCTAAGCTACTGAATCCAGCCTGATACTGATCTTTGATCAATATTAGTCCACTAATGGTTTTGTAAAGTGTGTCAAGCCCTGCTGTGCATCATGTTCTGCGCAGAGTCCTAGAGACCTAGCCTTGCCTCATGGAGTTGCTGCCAGAGGAAGGGAAAGCCATTACACACGTCACTAACCAGATAAAGCATCAAGACTGGTGATAAAAAGAAAAAACACAGGGTGTTCTGAAAGGAAGTAACTGTGAATAATGTTTTAGATGGCTGACTTGGGAAAGTGTCTAAGAGAAGGCTCATATTAGCTAAGGAATGTAAGGATAAGAAGTAGCGTACCTGTTGACTGCTGCCTGAGGAAGGGAATCACTTCTGTGAAGGCCCTGAGATAAACTAAGAGAAAGAAGTCACAGTTGCATTTGCATGCAGGTTTATTGACTTGTATTTTATAAGTCATTGAACAAATCCTATCATTCAACAAATATTGAGTGTCTTGACTGCTTGTTGTGTTGCAGACACTTTTGGGTGCTGAGGTTACAGTAGTTAGTCCAACAGACAAGGGCTTGGGTCATGCAACCTTACAAAATAGTGGGAAGACAGGCAGGTAACCAACTATTAGAATATAGTGTACTGCTTCCTAAAACTGGGGGAAATTCTGAGTGCTGTGGTGGTGTGTAGGGCTAGCATCTGATCCAGGGTTTTGGGGTCAGGGAAGTGACACTCTGAGATCTGAAGGAAGTGATATCTATCTGTTTTGAGTCTGAAAGCTATCTGTGTTGGCCAGTTAAAATAGAGAAGGAAAGAGGTAGAAACTTTCAGGAAGAGAGGGTGTGCACAGGTTCCAGCAAGAGAGGACCTCTGAATTCCATTTGGTGGAGCGAGAACAGGTCTGAGGCAGCAAACATCATAGTAGACTCCGCAGCCACTGGAACCTGATGGAATTTGTTGGCTCACTCTGTTGAGGGGTCCAGACTTTACCCAGAGGGAAATGGGAGAGCCATTGAAGGTTGTTAAGCCAGGGAAAGACATGATCAGACTTATTTTTTAAAAGACGACAATTCTAGCTTCCATGTGGTGGATGAATGAGAGAGAGTGCACCCCAAGCAGTGAAATTGGTGGGGAGACTGGTTGCACCAGGCCACTGTTGGACCTAGCACAGATGTGGTGGGCATGTGGAGAAGTATAAAAAGTAGGATTAGGCCAGGTGTGTTGGCTCACACCTGTAATCCCAGCACTTTGGGAGACTGAGGTGAGAGGATCACTTGAGCCCTGGTGTTTGAGACCAGTCTGGGCAACATAGTGAGACCTCATCTCTTAGTCAGGTGTGTGATATGTGCCTATAGTACCACTTATGTGGAAAGCTGAGGTGGGTAGATCCCCTGAGTCCAGGAATTCAGGGCTGCAATGATCCATGATCATGCCACTGCACTCCAGCCTGGATGACAGAGTGAGACTCAACTCAAAAAAAAAAAAAAAAAAAAGTAGGATAGAAGGATAGATTGGACTAAATGATTAGGCTATGGAAAAGTGAGCGGGGAAGGAGTAGAGATGGTTCCTAGATGGTTGATTGTGGCAGCTAGCTAGGTTGTGAGGAGGGTGGTGCCACTGAGTTAGGGAACTTAAGTGGGGAATGAATTCCTTGTTTTATTTGGACAGGTGGATATGGAGTTGTCTGACATGAAAATGGATAGATCCAATAGGTAAGTGGATTGAAAGAGAGAACTTTGGTTATGGTCTGCATACAGGTGGTCCCCAGGAGCAGATGCGTTCACTCAAGAAGAGGAAGAAAGCTGAAAACCCAGGACAGTCCTGAGGAGCTGTGTGCTCAAGACTGGTAGGAGAAGAGAAACCTGTAGATAAGACAAAGAAAAGGGTCATGGCAGAGGAGCAGGAGAGCGTAGTGTCGCTGCGCCAGAGAAGGGAGTGGGCAGCGAGGTCTTGAGGACAACGTAGGAGGTGAGGGAGAATTGTCCTTTAGAGCACACCCAAGGCCCTTGGTCATGACCCTGGCAGATGCAGGGTCCATCGCCTGAGCCTCATTTATGGATGACATAAAAAGGAGCACTAGTCTTTTTCAGATCCCTGGGAGGACAGTCCTGGCACAGAAGAAAGCACTGCAGAGACGTTACCACTGCTCATTTCTAGCATAGTTTTGTCATGAATTGGTGGACTTGGATTTAAGTACTTTTCAGCTCTGATTCTGTTCTTTCCTATGTTTGATGTGTAGGAAAACTCAAATATCTCTTTTTTGAGGCCGTGTCATCATGCCTATTAGTGCCATTAATTAATTTATATTTTTAGCAAGGGAGAAGGACAACAAAGGGTATATATACATGGTCTGTAGTCTTTGGAAATATTGACAGTAGCTTACATATTTATCTCTGTTGATTCAGCTAATTTTTGAGTCTACTCTGTTAGGGCTTTTAGCCTTGCTTGCCCATCAGAATCCACTGGGTCTTTTTAATGACCAACTCTCAATTCCTGTCCTCTGTCCTTCCCTCCATGCTGATTGTGTCAGACTCCCTGGAGATGGTGGCCAGGCATCAGTGTTGCCTAGCTCTCAGGTGACTCAGGTAAGCTGGGCTGTTCATCAGGCTACACTGAGAGCTGGATGTGCATTGCAGGTTGCTTAGAGCCTGCAGTCCAGTGAGAAAGATGTATAGTTTAACAATTACATAGCTGTGTTTTTAGTTATAACCGTCAGAAGCATTATGAATTGGGGAGTACAGCGTGTTATGAAAACACGTGACGTGGGACCTAGTCTGGTTGAGAGGAAGAGCAAGGAAGCTTTCTAGAGGAGGCAGTGTCTCAACTGAACCTAAAGGATGGCTGTCAGGACTTCAGACACCTTGTGGGTACTCAGCAGATATCACCACTCTTCACCAAAGATTCCATAGTCACTGGGTACAGACAGGATAAAGGGTCTGACAAAGGTTTTCCCGTTGATGCTTATAGGAAACAATCTGAATACATAATATGGTATGGAACTATTTGTATTTCTGGGATGTGTGTGTAATTTATGAAGCCAACTATAGGCTTTTTAAAATTGGAAAAGTTCCAGAAAGTTTTATATATCTTGTCATACATTTACCTAGAATATCTGACAACCAATATTCTACCACTAATGGTCTGAATCTTTCTTGAAGATAGAAGAAACACACCTTTATTCTGTCTTCCCTGTCTTCTTTATGTTGTATATTACTGTATGTATTAATCCAAAAATCAGCATTTCTGGAAAAAAATAATGACAGAAGCTTGTAGGTAACTTACTTACTCTGAGCAAGCTTGTTGCAGAACTTGCTCATATCTTGTGAAATAATTAGAAGAATAGCTAGGTGGGGTGGCTCACGCCTGTAATTCCTGCACTTCAGGAGACTGAGTTTTGCTTGCGTCCAGGAGTTCAAGACCAGTCTAGACAACATAGCAAGACCCTGTCTCTACAAAAAAAAAAAAAATAGTTAGCTGGGCATGGTAGCACTCATCTGTAGTCCCAGCTATTTGTGAGACTGAAGCAAAAGTTTTGCCTGAACTCAGGAGATCAAGGCTGTGGTCAGCCTTGATTTTGTCACTACACTCCCGCCTGGGTGATAGATAGAGTGAGACTCCTCTTTTAAAAAAAGAATGAAATGGGTCTGTTCACTGGCAGTACACTTTATCTGAAGCTATGTCTATAAATGCCTTTTGATTGGAAAGTAAAACTGTAATACCTGACACCTCTTTGAACTTTACAATTTTCATGACAAAACAGCATACGTTTCCTAGACTTATAGATTTTATACATATGTTTGTATATATATATGTAGTTTCCTTTGACATCCAGAATATGATAACTGTTCTCTTTTTCATTGTCAGTAAATACTACTAATCCAAATATAGGTATTTCCACATATGAAAGCCTTTTAACTGGAAGATTGGTGTGGTGTTTTGATCTTAGATCAGAAGCCATTTTTATTATTTCACTTTGGAAAATTCTACGCATATTAAAAAGCAGAAAAGATAATGTAATAGTATCCCAAATACTCAACATAGCTTCAACAGTTAACACTTCATGAACAATCTCATTTTATCTGTAACATCCTCACCTCTTTCTTTTCCCATACTGTTCCTGGGTTATTTCAGTCCATTTTATCCATAATTAAATTAGTATCTAATTTTTAGAGATTAGGATTCTTTTTAAAAACTGTTACCAAAATACCATTATTAATACCTAAAATATTATCAATAATTTATTAATATCAAGTATTCTGTTAATTTTAAAAGTCAGAAGTAATTTAATTTCTCTAGTATCTTTCTAAACACATTGATACTATCACTTTTAAACCAGCTTATGCTTAGATATTTTTCTGTTGGTGATCATTACTGTATGAATATGTCATTGGACACATGTTAACTTTAGTATACACTTATCTACATTTA